CTTCTCTATAGAGTGTGTGGTTATCCAGGGTGTTTTACCACAAGCCTTTTATTCCACTAAAGTGGTTTGACTCTGCACCTTTACATAGCTAAGATGTTTTGTGCTTTATAGTAGTTTTCTTCTAATATTGTTGTATTCGAAGCCCCTACAAGGAAAACATTCAATGCTTATGAACTAGACAGCTGTTGTAAGCAATAATTTGGTTGGCTTTTGTAGCAATTAAAAGAACGACTTCCCAAACCTGTCTGCAGCTTAAAATAAACCCGGGAGAATGTCATTGAGAAGCTTCACAGAGAGACTTTTAGAGTAGTTTTATTGTACAGCACCCATTCCTAGATTTAAAACACATTTCCAGAAAGCCACATGGCATACTGTGTGGAGCAGAGGTGACAGATCTGAGCATTCTGTGACTGCCTGGAAGCAGTCAGTTTGCTACCTGGTGGCAAGCACCCCCTTTTGTTACCAGTTGGTGTGTGATTTGGCACTGGCTGGTCTAGTAGGATTATTGTGATGGATGTGTGTAATAATAAAGGCACACTGCCTCTGTGTTGTTTTTTTTTTTTTTTAAAAAAAAAAATCCTCAAAGAGTTCTGTGATGGTCTTGTGTGCTTGGGCAAAATTGATCAATCCCTACCCTGGTTATCTGTGCTTGTAAACTAATCATGCTTTTAGTTTTACTTTGGTAAATTTTAGTAGTGTGGGCAATGTGCCAAATAATGTTTCCAATGTTTTTCATATTGACTAAAAGAATGAAAGCAACAATGTCATGTTTGTTTCTCTTGTTCTGGGAGATTTTGCATACTCTTTACATGTATGGCGGGTGAAGTTTGTAATGCATATTTAAGTTTTGGCTAAAAACTACATAGATTGGATTATAACAAGGCACATTTTGCAAGAGTAAAGGGTAAATGATGATCAGTATCAGAAAGAATGAGGCAGGTAAGCAGTGCTGGTTGTGATTTATAACTGCATATTGTTTTCCAAAAGCAAGGAGAAGAGGCCTTGCGCAGGTCTGGGGAGTAGGTGTTTGAAGATTTCACAAAGCTTTGAACAACCTGCAAACATACCTATATGACCTAGATTCAGTAACAAGGTGAACATTACGGGGATAAGTTTCCACACCTTCTCGAGAAGAGACGGCTGTGTTTGTATGATATGCCATGCTATGCTTCTGGTATGTTCATCCTAAGTTTATGGAGTATGTATTGTAGCGTGGCAGACTGAATTTTTTGTTATGCTGGTTTTGCCTAATAACTTTGTAAAACTTAAATGGCAGAATGAAGTCTGTCAGATGGTTGCATCTGATGTTGATGCAGCTTGTGGCTGCTTGTCATGTGTGTTTGAATTCTTTATACTGAAATTTACACTATCATGCAAGTATAAACGCAAATCTAGAAATGTAAAAATACATTTTGTTTGGTTACAGCAGAGGGTGGAATGTATTATGCATGTTATGTCAAAAGTCAATTCTCACATTTCATAACTGTTGAATAACTTTATATTTTACACTCCCTCAGGTTTCTCTTTTACATGAGTTTAAAGCTTGAGCACTGTAGCATATACCTCCTGCATGAAAATCAAAATATGAACTGAATGTTCTTTTTTTTTATTAGCAGGGAGTAGTAGTGTCAAAAAGAAATAAAGCCTGAAGTTGCTGGTACAAACTAACAAATATGTTCATAAAAACATGATGACTTTTTTTGTTTGTTTCCCGGAGTCTTCTGGTTGGTGATTATGGACTATTAGTATAAGAGTCTGGTCTTTACCAAGTGAATGTTTCCTTTCAGAACTGTTGTTTGCTGTAACTTTATGCTATCTCAGCATGTCTTTCTAAATGTCATCCTGGCCAATTTTCCACCTGTACTTGTTCCTGTTTGTAACATTTACTAGTACTGCCAAGTATTCTGAAATTACTTGTAAAGTTAACATTAATTGAAACACTATAGCATAGGAAATTAAACCTTTGAGGAGTTGTGAAAAAATATTTTTAACTTTTGAGATTTCAAGTATTCTGTTGAAATTTAATATTGATGTTTATTTTGTTGCTCTTGGTTTTAGCCTGATTTTTTTTTTTTCTTACTTGTGTGAAGTCTAATTTTTCCACAGAAGTGAAATACAAAGTAGAGATGGTCAGCACCCAGGAAAAGAAAGAACTTGTTTGTAATATTCAAGTTCATAGAGGAGCAAGAAATTTTTTCGAAGCAAAGCTTGTTAAGATTTAAATGATGCAGGAGAAACTGATGTGGGTTTATGACTATATATATATATATATTTTTTTTTTTTTTTTCTTCAGGTGAGAGAAGATGTGTTAAACTCCTTGAATAACAACTTTCTACAAACACTAAACCAAGCATGGAATGATCATCAAACAGCAATGGTGATGATTAGAGACATTCTGATGTATATGGTGAGTATTCTGTTTTTTCACACATTTAACTTGATGCAGTAAATTGTCTTGTGACGAATGTAAACAAATGAGCTGGAGGAGTAAAAAGCAAGGCATGCTTACCAGTCTTCTTCCTAAGACTACTGTGTCCCTTGTTTTGAATTCCCTGTGTGCATGCAAGACTTATGGGTATGTGACAAATTATAATTGGATTATTTTTTCAGGTTATCTCATAATCACTTGAAAAATGCATCAGAAAAATGATCAAGTTTTGTAATTCTTAAAGAATAAGCTACTGTGACCCGTTCTGGCAGGTTATAGGTGTTACTTGCATGTTTCAGTTCACATAGTGGTGCTTTCTTAGTGGGAAAAGCATGATGGTGTAAAGCCTCCTCAAACTTCCTAGTGTAGTTGTCCTTTAAGCTTAAGAGTTTGAAGAGGTAACTTTGCTTAGGTACAGTCTGTGTCCTTGAATGTTAAATTCTAATTGAATCCTTTGTTGTTCATGCAGAGCTTGGGTGCAAGATTAAGCAGTGTACAGAGATGAGAATGTGATCTTTGGTTGCATGGTTGTAGTTCTAAAAGAAAAAAAAAAAAAGTATTCCTCACCTGATAGCTGACGGAAAAGGCCTTTTTTGAAGAGGGAGGGCCTTAGGTTTTTGTGTCTGGATTGTGCTGTGCTTTAGGTAGTTGGTATATGTTTGAATTCCCAGAATGGTGGGCATGCTCTAAGGATGCAGCAGAGTGTAGTTTTGCATAGCTTCTAGCCAAAGGCTTTAACTTTAGAAGGAAAAGTAGTATGTGTTGAGACACTGCAGTTTTAAGAAAAAAATATTTTTTTCCAAAATATCATACTGAAGATAGTACTTTATGCAGTATTAGACAGTGAAGGACAAACAATGGTAGTGCTTTTTTTATCAAAAAAGATGATTAACTGAGATTTTACTCTATTTGCTGAACAACTGGAGTTAAGATCATCTTGTAGCTATTAAAGATCTCATGCTATGAAATTGAACCTGTTTGTATTAGATATGAAGAAATCCTACTTGGTTAATAAGCTACTAAAAGAATTTGGAGTAGTTATTGTAGCCACATAGCTTAATTTTTTTTTTTTTTAATGGATTTACTGACTTTTGTGTTGTGGGTTTTGTGTGGTGTTCTACTTCTGTTTCAGTTGTGAAAAGACCGTGCATCTAAGTATAGAGGACCAGATAAAATGCATTCAGTGACACTTAATGATCTATGTATCTTATCTTGCCGAAAGGAAAGATTGAGAGATTATTTTGAAGATGTACTTTCTTTGCTATGAGAAATCCTGGAATCTCTAATGTTGTTTGCAAAGGACAAATACAAATCAATTGCTAACTGCATCTGGGCAAATTCAAGAATACCTAACAATTAGAATTATCTACCAAAGCTAGTAGTGAATTTTCAGAAGTGTTAGAATATGGAATCCAGACCTGTCTAGGGGAGTAGCTATTGTGTTTTAGCCAAATACTATGTGTTATTTCAGTACAGAAGGTGTTGGATGCTCCAAGGTACATAGGTGGTCAGAGCAGATAACGCAATGTTATCTGCTGCTCTTAAATTCAATAAATCTTCGATCCCTCAAACAGTGTCAGAGAAAGCTGGCTTATCAGCTGTTCCTGTTTTAGTGTATTGATCAGCATATAGAGGACCAAGAAGTCCCTTCTTTGGGAAAGGATAACACGCCTCAGCACTTTTTTGGGAAGATGAGAGCTATTTCCCAAGTATTTTTTTGTGCTCAGGAGAGCAATGCTTTCACTGTTTGAAGCTTGCGAGTGCTGTTAGGACAGCCAGACAGCCTTCTCTTTTCCAGTAGAACTCTAGAAGATGGAGACCTACAGAATAAGTGCAAATTGGACTTCATTGGGTTGTATTTTAGATTCAAACAGAATAATAAACTTGAATACCTTTTGGAATATATAGTCTTCCATGTGCTGTTTGACAGTTCCTAATTATTTCAAGTAGGTGTTCAGTTGAGGCCTCCCATAGGCTTTTTTACTTGTACCAGAATAAGACCCAAAGAAATGAAATATATTTCTAGTATAATAGTAAAAATACAGTATTTTTTTTCTTTCAAAATGCTTATAAAAACTCGTCAAACTTTTAGGAGCACTGATCTCTGTTTGTTAAACATCTATAATGCAATATAGTTTTTATGATTATTAATTTAATCTTTATTAGATAGAACTATCTAATGCAAGGAGCTGATACAATGAGCAGGCTCTCTCCTTTTCTTTACCTTGGAGGGGCATAAGACAAATTGTCATTAGAAAATACATGCTTTGATTACTAATTAAAATATAAGCTATGGTTTAAAATGGGACTAGTCTCAAAGATTTGCGGTTTCGCCTTTGTCACTGGCTGATCCTGTTGAGTCAAACATAATTCTGTTCACTGGAAAGAAACTAAGAGCAGGAAACTTCTGTTCTTGAGTATGTGTTCATTCAAAAAGCATGTAACCCAAAAAGCTTGAAAAAGCTGCTAGTGCTGTAAAATTATACAGTGAAGGAACGTCTGTCAAAGATGAGACCTGACTGCTCTTCAAAGAAGCAATTTTCAAGAACTTTATAAAATAAGTAATGATTTGTTGTTGTTTTGATGTTGAATCTGAATGAAATGTAGTTTTATAATGATATGCGTATGTCAGAAGCTGTTATACCTTTTTATTCAAGCACAGATAATAAAATTTATATAAAAATTTTATCTTAAAAAAAAAACAACCAAACAACAAACCATCAAAACCAAACAAACCAACCAAACGCTGTATAAACTCTATCACCAGGCGTTGTTAATTGATAGGCTTGTGTTCCCCCAGAAGTATATGCAATTACAGTATGTTTATGAATAACCCACTCCTTCTCTTATTTTGTAGGCTGTCCCAATTACTTAGCCATCAGTTTCAGGAATTGTACTTATTGGTACCCAACAAGCCACAGTCTGACATCAGCGAAAGTAAAACGTTTTAACGTCCTCTTGAATTCTGATCTAGCAATTCTAGCAATTGTACCTCTTAAAGTAAACTATATCTGTTTTAATGCCATGTCTGTTTTCCAGCTTATTTTCACCCCTGAGCTACCATATGATCTAAGTCAAAAGAAACACCTCTTCAATGCACCTTCATCTTTTCTCTACTTAATTTTACCACTTCTAAAATAAAAATTAATTAAAAGAGGGTTTTTTTAGAAAGGTATATATTTTGTACAATGGAATGCACATTGTTATGATACGTAATGACTAGAATACTTGCTGTTTGAGGTTTATGACAGAATTTCAGTTTACGTGCAGAACCTCTGTCACAAGACACTTGTAAAGCTTGCCTTATAGTTGTATTTTAACAAAGTGTATTATTACCTTATCTCGTGTTGAGTGGTTGCTGTCTGGTAAAAGTCGTCTTGGTTTCAGGTTTGTTGTATAATGCAGTTCTAGTGTGAGGTTTTGCAACCTGGAATTGCACAATAAAGGCAAATCTAAATTTCTTGAGATATTCCAGTTTCCACAATTGAATTTCAAGTTTACATAGTTCCACTATATCTGTAGTATGTGTGTACTAGCTTTCCTTCTGTTTTACAGGTTTAGGCTGCAGTAATCAGTGCCAGGATAGATAAAATACTCTCTGAATTCATGGCACTGCCCGCAGCAAGCAGTGAGGTACCAAAGCAGTGAAGTCATGTCCTAAGTAGTAGTGTCTTCACTAAGTCAGGTCATGTAGTAAGAAGTGTTAAAGTAGTGAAGTAATGTGCTGCGTTTGGGCATATCTGAGGTTCAGCCTCACTTAGGCTGCAGCCTAGGTAAGCGTACCTACAATAGTTTTTGTTTAGCTACTGTATGTAACAGTAGCAATGCAGGTGCAGTTTGCTTCACTTCAAGCTACCTGAGCGTGAGTATTCTTGGAATGTCTTAGGGAAATGGGACTAATTCGGACTCTGGTGTCCTCTCTTTACTGCTTGTACTTGCTAAATTTAAAGCAATTTCAGGTATGCAAGCGCAGCAGTCACACCCCTGGTTGCATTATAGGCATATGGCCAGTGCCAGTTAAATGCTGTCAGAAGTGGACAGTTACTCTTGCAAATACAGCTGTGTATTCTGCAGAGGGCAGAGCATTCCCTTCTCATATGCGTGGTGCACAAAGCTGGAATCTTGATTTAGACCAGTGCTGACAGATTGGCTATGGGAGTTCTGACCTCGGGACATAGGACTGTCGTTGTTCATGGGTTACGCACAAGGTAGTAGGGAGAAGTGTTATTTTTATTTTCAGAACTAGGATCAAAGGTGCTTGCTATATATATACAACAAGGTCTGAAGACAATGATGTCTGAAGACTACATCATCTAGGTAGTGCGTCCATACAGAGATGGGCAAAATGTGGCTGGTGATGTTTTACAGCAGGTAACTTGCTTTAGTTGAGATCAGAATTGTTCTGCAGTGTAAGCAGCATGGTAATTTATGAATAATTGCTGTCTGAAACTCCACCCTTGTCTCCTGAGAGTTACTCTTACCTTTAAGCACCTGCTGCTTCTCCCCGTGGGAAGTGATTGCAGTTCAGTAGCATGTAGTCTTGTCAGTCAAACCTGTTCCTAAACGGGGCTTCCTGTCTCTAAGATTATTTTTTTTTCAGTTGGGAGAGCTTCCAGTAAACAGTAAAAGCGATCTGTTACCAAGGGTAAGCAAATCAGCAGTATCAGAAACATTAATGCTGCTACTCTAATTTGGGTATTGTAAGCCAGACCACTCTACTAAAGAGGTATTGCTGTTACATTGAGAAGAGTTTCTGGTGCAGTTACTATTTCATTTCATAATGGCAGTGTTTAGCATTGCCACAGCAGAAGCTACACAGATGAGTCATGACCATGGCTTTAATCCATTTTGATACCCTGCTGCCTGCACTTCAGAGGCCTGAATATTTTTTGGAAATAATATATATAGTCTTTTCTCCTCAACTTCTATATTATATTAGACACTGCTTTTACATTTTTATCTCTTTGAAAGTTTTATTTTAAGCTTGTCTGTCTTTAGAATCTCATTTACTTCTCTTCTTGATGTAAGGGTGTAAATGAGTGAAATAAATAACCCTGTTTGTAAATAACAGGAAAAAATAGGCACATATTCCAAAGACCCAAACAACCATGTGTTGCTAAACTGACTTCATGGGACCAATTAGTAAAGTTTTTGCTTTGAGGCAGAACTTAGCTTGCTTCATGAGCCACAGAGGAGGCATATCTGACCTGTTCCCATCTTGTTTTTTCATTTAAGTGCTGCCTGTCTAAAGGGAGTGAGTGGGAAATCATTTGTGAATTGTGGAACCTGATGTTTCACTTTCCTCTGGTTATCAAGTGTCAATCTGGCATATAATTAGTATATGAATAATTTTGCTGTGTAAATTCAGCTGCTAAAATACGAAAGGGTGTCTGTTCCTTCCGATTTCTTTCTAATTGTGGAATTTATATAAACTTGTAATTTTGTAATCTTTCTTCCATAGTCTGAAGCATGTTTTTGTAACAGTTCGGTTTTCTAGGTGTTTAACTTTATGCTTCAATTCTGAGTGTGGTAAAGCACTTAAGAATTTAAAACTGAATCTCAAACATTTGACATCACAAACAGTGGATGAGCTAGTCTTTATACGCAATTTCAAACACTGACCTTCATCCTTTATAGAATTTGATTTATTTTTTATTTTGTGATAGTTATGTAAATTCTTAGAAAACCTTACCACAGTCAGATTTGTGAGTAGGTACAAAACTCTTGACATTTTCTAATATCATCATATTGAGGCTTAAATGGTAGTAAACCAATATTTTTAGTAATTACTCAAACTATTATATTAGAGGAATGGATTATGCCCTGATAGAAATGAAAAAAATTATCATTGCTCATCTCAGAAATAGTTTGTGAAAACTCACAATGTTTCTGTTCTTAATGTTGTTTTAAATGGTCTTAACCTGGTACAGCACTACTAGATATTAAGTGAATACACTTGTTTTCCATCTGCTTATTAATAGTCGTCTTTTTCTAGACAGTTGATAAGTTCGGAGAGAGTAATAGAGAAGGGCAGACAAATTTTTGCAGCATTTCTGCTGGTAGTAGTAAGAAACTCAGGGTGTCTGCTCAGCAGTGTCTCAGCTCTGTATGATGACATTTGGGCTATGCAGACTTGGAATACTGTTCTGAGGATCAGCCTTGATTTGTAAATGTAGATAGTAGAGGCCTAGTGGATAGTTGAGGAGCTTCATCCTTCCTATAGACTGAGATTATGTAGGGAGATGTATAAAAATTATTCTACCAATATGGGTTTAAATTCTTTCTTCTCTCCTTACTTTTTCTTTTGCGGGGGGGGGGGGGGTGGGAGGTATGTGTGCCATTTTAATGAAACATAGCAAGGTTTCAAGTTGAATGGAAATGAATTTTTGTAGGTGTGGGTTCAACAGAAGTCGGTTATGTACGGTTTTGCAGTACCAATCCATAAACATTTTGTTTGTAACTATTCTCATTTTGGCTTTACTTTTTCTTCTGTTCATCTAATGATGATGTTTCAGGAAATTTCACTGAAAATTGAAGGGGAGCTGTCTGCCTGAAAGGAGTGGTAGGAATAAGCATGAGAGATGGGGGGGGCGGAAATTATTCTCAAAGAACTAAAAGGGTGGATGGACGAGGTTTGAGGAGATAAGTAAAAGCTCTGTCAAATTGGGCCATGAATTTTGTCAGTATTTAGAGATTCTTCTGCCCCCAAACTAAAAAATGAGAAGGCTGTAGATTCGTTCTGGCGTGATTTAGTCATAAACGCTGTGCTTACACTTTTAAGCAAAGTAGACTTTTTATATAAATGAAGTTTTAGAAAATGAAACTGATTTTGAATTTTGAGGGTATTCATAATTTCTTTTTATGAAGAGAGAAGATTCATTTGATTATTTCTGTACAGTGGAAACATGATCAATCTCTTGCAATTTTGAACAGCACAGTTGTACTGAATTTACAATTTTATTGCTGTGTGTGCCTTTGTTATAGGACCGTGTGTATGTGCAACAAAATAACGTGGAGAATGTCTACAATTTGGGCTTGATAATTTTTCGAGATCAAGTTGTACGCTACGGCTGTATTAGGGATCACCTGCGGCAAACTCTGCTGGATATGATTGCAAGAGAAAGGAAAGGAGAAGTTGTAGACAGGTAAGATGTTTGTAAGTGGCTGTCTTTTATTGTAAATAATACCTGTCAATTTTTAAGAGTGAATTAAGAACATACACAAATAAATCATTGTTTAAGACCACGTTTCTGATCACAAGTGAAATGTCTCCATAATCTGGAATAACCTATTTCTTTGTGCGTCAAGTTTTAGCATAATGGTAAATGGGGAAGCTAGTTAATATTTTTTTTAATATTTATCTTGTGATTTTAATTAGAAACTTTGTTAAATCTTTCCATTACCACCTTGTGCCAGAGCATTTGGTTTTAAAGCAGAGTTTTGACAATTCTCTGCCTCTTGCTACCCTGTATTTCCTCTGTACTGAGATATTGTTGAATTTTCTTGCACCTGTTTGTTTATTTTTGAAGTTTTCCTTTTAAATTCTCTTTCCTTTCCTCATGTTTTGATCTGCCTGTTCCTTGGTTGTTCAGTTGCATCTCTGAGCTTTAAAATCTGTTCCTCGTGTTCTCCAGCCAGTTTAGTAGATGTGGAGTTTTGTGCCATGTGCTGCAGACAGTGCAGCTGAAGTAACTTCAAACTTGCAAGTGTTCTTGTGCTTTTGCAGTTTCAGAGCAGCTGTTGGGTGTGGAGATGTGTGAACTCCATGCTCCTTTGCCTGCAGCTCTGACTGAGATTGCCCAACGCGCAATTTCTGAAGAGAAAAATACTCCCTGGCAACAGCTGTGTATTGTCCCCTACTGCCAGAAAGTGGAATTTTTTCCTGGATGCAGTTCTTTTGTTTTCACATTTTATTGATGTGTTTCTATGCCTAACCAAATGCTTGATTTGCTGATACGTTGTCATTTTGTTTGTTTTTTTTTAAAAAAAACAACCAACCAAAAAACCTAGACTTTGAACAGCAACTTCCATCTGTGCAATTGTTTTGAATTGTTTAATTCCAACCTGCATGTGCAGTTTTCAGCTTTCTTTGAAGTAGCATTTTTGTTTTTTTCTTGTATGTTGAAACATGTTCTTAATAGTTTTCCAAATTAGTAGAACTTGAGACCTGCTTCCCTATCCATTGTATTTCAAATATTTAATAAACATTGTCAGCTTCTTAGTTTAGAACAAAACCAAACAATCTTGCTGCTGTCATCTTGAAAACCTGTCATACACCAAACAGATTTAGGATAGACTTTCTGTTAGTATATTTTATTTAAGTTGATATTTATGTTTTATGTTGTTGTTCTGCTGTGTATCTGTCTTACAAACATGTAGATTTCTCACGTTGTTAACAACTTACTTTTTGGCAGAGGCGCAATAAGAAATGCTTGCCAGATGTTAATGATTCTAGGTCTTGAAGGAAGGTCAGTCTATGAAGAAGACTTTGAGGCTCCGTTTTTGGAGATGTCTGCAGAATTTTTTCAGGTACAGCAGTGTTGTAGTATCATATTTAGAATGTTGTTATAACTGCCTGCAATTGTGAGAACTGGTGGTACTTTAATTAATGGCTGCTTATTCGATGAGTATGTCCATCTCCGTTAAATGAAATAAGAAAAATAATTACTAACTTTGCAGAAAAGGTAACAAATTTTACAGAACTACCATAATTTGAACGTAGTTTTGAGCTATGGGTGCCAATAATACGTAAAGTAATCATCATGCTAATCTGGTGCCTGCTTTGGGCTATTTCATGCAACTTAGTCTATCCCTGCATTGCAGCCATGGTCTTTTTGAAATACCAGTAGCATGAAAGGTTCAAACTGTTTCAGACTGGGGATGGAGAGGGGAGACTGCATGTCAAACTGCCTTTGAGGAAGGTTCGTTTCCTTCATAGTTTTGACACTTGAGAGTTACTTTTTGTGATAAAATGAACTGAGTCAAGGAATTAAGTGTGTCCAGGTGGCTATCCAGTTGTTGACCAGCCACTGAATAACACGTTTTAAATACTTCCTGAGGATTTTTGTGCGATAGCTTCAGAAAAAATGCTAGTTGAATAGTTGCTGAGTGCAGTGATGCTCATCTATTGTTGGAAACTGGTAGAAACTGTAAAAGCATATTAAAAGATACATAGGTAATTTGTCAGCCTCTCAATTCCTATGCAGGATCGACTGTCTGTCATATCCTCTGATCTCCAAACTTCTTTGAAAATCAGAAGCGTATGTTGCACAGCCATTTAAAAGCCACTGTATTCTATTATTAATTTGTGCTACATAAAAATTAAGAAAAAAATCATTACTTCCATAGAAGTTTTATTTCTTAACTTCACCTTAAAAAAAAATTTAGTATCTTTCCTCCAAAAGTCTATGCTGACCAGAGTGGATAAAAACAGTTTGCTGTGAAATCATGTGCTCAGCATTATCACTAGTGAGAATAAAGAGAACTGTTGATTGTCAGAACTCACAAATATGCCTTGAACTGGTATTTGAAAGGAATTTTTACCTCTTTCCTCTCCCCATCCTTCTATTTTCTTTGAACCTGTGGCTAAAACTCTACTTGGTAACTGGAAACTAGCTTGCCTTAGGTGGTTTTAGTATAAAAATATCGTGTTCATATTGTGTGTGCCCCCATATGTACATAACACAGTTAGTGTAATAGAACCTTTATTTTTTTTTAAGCGTGTATGTAAATCTTGGGGGCATAATGATCTCATTTGTTGGACATGTTGGATTTTATCTGAACTTGCTTATAAATGCTGATCTGAAATAACTAGCGTATTTCCTTTTTCCCCTTCAAAAAAAGTCTAAAGTATTAATTTTTGTTAATCACAGATGGAAAGTCAGAAATTTTTAGCTGAAAACAGTGCTTCTGTATATATAAAGAAAGTAGAAGCTAGAATTAATGAAGAAATAGAACGGGTGATGCATTGTCTGGATAAATCAACAGAAGAACCAATTGTGAAAGTTGTTGAGAGGGAGCTTATTTCCAAGCATATGAAAACTATAGTGGAAATGGAAAACTCTGGGCTAGTTCATATGCTGAAAAATGGCAAGACAGAAGGTAAGACTGCATCATATGTGAGGCAGAAATGCTTACCATACTGCTTATTGTTTTCAAACATAGGATAAGTCAAGCTTAATGTTTGTGTTCCTGTGTAGTTGTAAAAACATTTTTGCTCTGTTTTGCAAACATCTGAGAGTATTACTTCCGAGGCTTTTAGAGGGCTCTTAAAATAGAGCCCATATGTATAACGTGTTTCTGTTTAGAACCAGATACAGGTACTCTTTTGGTACACCAAGCATCTGTAAAGGAAGGTGCAAAGTATTGTAGTGGTCTTTGTTATCTGTTTTCCGTGAGCCATTTTATTACTTTCATTCCTCTAGTATGCAGCTGTCAAAATGCATCGGAAGTTTTTTAACCCACAGGCAGTTATTTAAAAAGTGCTAGTGTAAGTGACTTTATTAAATAGAAGAACTGTAGGACCAGTTCTTGGAGAGAGGGCTTTGTTGCAGAAAGTTCACTGTTTTTAAAGGACAGGTAGTATCTTATTGAAGTGGTTGAAAAAGAAGAGCTGGGCTTGATTTGGATTTCCCTAATAGAGGTTAATGTGGGATAGAATGAAAGTTATTATGGAAAGAAATAGAACGTAAGTTTCTAAAGCAGCATAACCAAGAAAGTGATTGTAGTACCTAGATTTAGAAATCAGTACTCACACTAGAGCAGTGAGAACGGGGAATAGACTTGCTGCTTAGATGAATGACCTTTGTTCATTAAAGCAGCTTCACAATTAGTAGGTGACAGTCAGAGTGACAAAGTGAGCAAATTCCTTAACTGTAAGAAAAGAGAATTACTATATTGAAAAGGAAAGTGATGTTACTAAGCTTTTTTTCTTTAAGATCCATTTAAGATAGCCTTCAGGCTGAGGACACAAGGATATTGAAGGGTATTCATTAGATATAGGAATTAGTTTAACTTTTATAGGCCTTGGTTTGATTTAGTTAAATACTAGAGAGGAAATATGTGCTGCATTGTGAAGATAAGATATCACAAACAAGGATGGATTGCTCTTTTGGAAAGCCGTGTTTAACCAATGCCACTTCTCATGATTTAAATGGATGGAACAAAGTAATGTAAAATTATATGGCCAACTCTAAGACAAATATCAATTAAACTCAGGTTTTTGCCAGTTTTTGCTTTTAATACAGAAACAAGCATCTCATTAGTGTTGTCCTGTTTGCTTTACCTTTGTTTTTTCTTATAACTTTTAATAAGTATTTGATTTTTGGGATTATAATCTTGGAAGCTATGTTCTTAAATACCACTGAAAAACCTAATCTTACTAAAGCTATAAGTGCACTGTTCTTCAGTGCAAGCATCAACTTTGGCTGGCCTGGGGATCAGCAATAGTAGATTCCATGTCAGAGACAACCTAGAATAGTTGGATACAATCTTTGTTTTTAATTTTGTGGCTGCTGCAGTCAGCATGTTGTCAGGGGCAAAGGAAAGGGGACATCAAAAGATTCTAGTGGCTGAGCTGTTATGGGACGCTTTGTGTGGCTCAAGTGGCTGAACTTTTACTGTCATCTTTTACTATGAGATGAATGAGTTAGAGTAGTATTACAGACAGAGGGTGTCCTGCATAATATCTCATTCTTGTTTGCAGACCTCGCTTGCATGTACAAGTTATTTAGCCGCGTGCCAAATGGTCTGAAGACAATGTGCGAATGCATGAGCTCATACCTGAGAGAGCAAGGCAAAGCACTAGTTTCTGAAGAGGGAGAAGGAAAGAATCCAGTTGACTATATTCAGGTAGTTGAAATATTTTAACTTTCTTTTCTTCCATATTTCACATGTTCTCCAGAGTAGCAGTTAACTACATGATTAATAAGGTAAACCTTAATATTGATTCAAAAGGAATTATTATTAATAAACTACATTTATAATTTTGTTTACAATGTACAGTTTCTGCATTTTCAGACATGTTTGCAACTCTTACTAATTTGCTTGGAAAGTAAATATTTAGGTTTTGTGCTTTTGGTAGCTGCTTTTGTAAAACAATATATTCAGGCTAATTATCGAACTGCTGGGAACTTTTTGCGTTATCCTAAATGGTATTTGGCTCCGGAGTGAGTTGTATGTCTGCTGGCAAATAGCTTTATAGTGTCTATTTTGTTTAATTTCATATAATGTTGGCTATCAATGTTTGAGACAAAAATCACGTGACAGTATTTCATAGCAAGATTAACTATGACTGAGAGGTGAATGTATTATAAATCATAACAAATCACTTGGTTCATTCTCAGTCTCCCTGAGAAACAGAACACTTCTGCATGTTAAAAGATGGTAGGTGTTGTTTCTTGTTCTCTATCTCTCACTAAGAAGTGATGCATACCATTAATTTATCAAGATCACAAACTACGCTCCAGGATTGTTTGTCATCTCTTCACTCCTGTTGTTTTTGAGAAGATGGTTTTAAATTTTCATGTAATATCGTCAGAGTTCATTGAACTTTAAGGAAATGTTTTTATAGCTGGAAGATGCTTTATACTTAATATGAAAATGTGTGTTCATTAAATGTTAAGGGTGGTTGGTTGTTGTTTTTCTTATGTGTAGTTGAAGTCTTGTGTCTGGTCTTTATGAGAAACATTTAATACTGTATGTCTATTTGCTATTTTGTTTGATATCAATAACTTTGCTAGAACTGGTTACTATTAGAAGAAGCCATTTGAGTACAAAAACATTTTTGTTTGGATTATTTTCTGGCAATGCTGAAGCAAACTTCTTACCAAGCTTGGACAAGAATCACCTCTCCAAGGATTGTTAAAAAGAAGAGAGAACGCTCTTCAAAATTTATTAGGTTTGATGATTAAGGGCTGTTATATTTTTCTGTGGTGGTACACTTTTTTTAAAAAAAAAAAAAAGGATGAAGGGGTGGAAAATAAGTGTCTGAATTACTTTGAAGTAATTTTTACTCCTTTTAATCCTGACGGGCCTAAAGTGATATCATAAAGTAACTGAGAGTGTTAAAAAATTGATTGTAAAGATGTTACTGATGTTTTCTGCTGCAAAGACGAATAGCATAGTGAATCTGAAGAAGACTTACAGCCATACTGCATGCGCATTGGCAGAGCTCGTACTCTAAGCCCAGTAGTATGTATCTCAACCATTTTATGAAGGTGCCCTAGGGAAGAGATTGATATTTGATTACCACTAAACTCTCAAACAGGTTTATCCTCCACTTTCATTGACACGATGGAAGAAGAGAAAATTACCTGTGAATTGAGAAACCACCTCACTCTTCTCATCTCAGCCTTGTTCATCTGACTCTTTCAAGGACTTAAAATAGCAGTAAGAAGACAGGCAAGGAAACTACCTTATACCTTCAAGAAAAACTTCCACCATAGTCTAGCACTGCTTCTGTAACATGATATCATCAAACCCTGAGCATAATTGGCAAGATGATTGCAAAAGCATTGCCAGGGCATTAGGTTTAAAACTTCTCATCATAATTTGAAGGGATGTTGAAATGCTCTTCTAATTTAAGGTACTAACAGTTTCTCCTATTTAACACCAGGTTATTCAGATGGTGTACTCCTGGAGAGGAGACATAAGCTAACCTTGGTAAACAGAGAGATAGTGGGATTTACTTTGAATTTAAAATTTGCAATATGTGTTAATTAGCCTGTCTAAAGATCATTCCTTTAAGTAAGATGGTGAGTTCCTAAGAAACATTACTATATCTTCGAGTAATTCTTGAATGGCTTCTTTAAGTAACCACATATAAATAATTTGTTAAGAAACCAAGAACTTTAAGGTCATTTAACCTGAATGTTTTTTGTGGACAGTTGTTATCCATGATAAATTTGACTCTCGAGTGAAATTTTCTTCCTCTCCCCCAAATGCTGTCTTAGTCTAAATCCTGCGCATGTCATATATACCTAGCAAGGTGCCCAGGTGATTTTTAAGATGCTTCCCACTTCTGAACTCAGTTGTTTTAACTCTGGGTGAAGATGGTACAAACCCTGAAAATGATATTAAGAACCTGATGATTTAGCTCAGAGGAAGTGGTTCAGTTCAGGCCTGTGAAATTCCCACTGAGATAACTGGAGAGCTATTGCTTGTATCTAACTTTCATATGTTCACAGAGACTCTCAAAGATAAATATGAAACATGCAACTAAATGCCTCTGTCCCTGGCTTGAAATTAGAGGAGGAAAAAAAAACTTAAAAGATTAGGTCTGTTGTTGCAGTATGTTTTCTCCTCAAACTTGTTTAGTAGCTCTAGGGATGCAGTTAATAGGTGCTTAGCCTCATCTTTCCTGTATCCTGTATTTATGATCAAGACTTTGTCAATGTTATTTGAAAAATAAAAGACTTAAAGGAGGTATTTGTTGTACTTGTTAAGTTGTAGATTTAAAAATACAGTAAATGAGCCTGTTTCACAAGAGTGATTAAAAAAATTTTCTTAATCTTTGAGTAGCCTATTACAGCAAACCGCACCAGTATTTGACACTGATGTTTTAGCCAGTTTATCTGAAAATTGCTGCTGTAAGAGATTTATGGTACCTATAGATATTTTAAAATGGAAATGAAATTTCAGATACTTTCTAACAATGCTGAAGATAGCTTTGCAGAATCTCTGACTGTAGATGTGGTCTTCTCTGCAACTTCATCAGTTATTACTGTTTTACAGGTTACAACTTCAAATCAGTGAAAATGTTTTTGCTTTTTTTTTTTAAAGGGTTTACTGGATTTGAAGAGTAGGTTTGATCGCTTTCTTCAAGAATCTTTCAATAATGATCGACTCTTCAAACAGACTATTGCAGGTGACTTTGAGTACTTCCTCAACCTCAACTCAAGGTCTCCAGAGTACCTCTCGTTATTTATTGATGATAAGCTGAAAAAGGGAGTGAAAGGAGTAAGTATAAATTAAATTAAAAGATCATGCTTTTTGCTGCATAAACTTGGATGAAACTAAACTATGCTACTTTTCTAAGTATTTTTCTTGTGGTAAGACTAAAAAAAAACCCTGTATGTAACACATCTGAGCTCATAACACTTCGTATCTAAATTTATGGAAATATAAGGCAAAAGGAGATTTCAAGATGGTGTGTGGCTTGTCCTCCATCTCTCAAGCAGTATGCCTGGATTAATTATGGCAGATACTTCCTCAAAAAAAAATTAGATTGTAGTACATTCTGCAGCTCCCTTCCTTCAAAACATTTAAGTATAATTTCCTTACATATTTATAGTTATTCTCAGAATCTGAATAAAACTGAATATTATTGCATGCATCTTATGCTTTGGGAATCAAATAGTAAATTGTATTTATTTATAAAATAAGTAAGAATTTTATTTGTTGTGGCACTAGACAGGCTTTGCAAAATGAGTCTTAACACTTAAAAGCTTGCATTCCAAGCTAACCCAAGCTAACTTTTCATACTCCTAATACTGGTTTCCATCTGTGCTTTTTTTAAAGTACTTAAAAAAAAAACCCAACTTATCGAGGAACTCTTACTGTATTTATCCAGGCATTCTACCCATCTGTCATTTCCCTTCTCCCTCACAATTGCTTTTCCTTCCATTTTAGGTCTATTTCTTTTTCTGCTGTGTTGAGTGTGTCCGCCATTCTTTTGACTCTTATCATTTGCATGTTGGACCAGTTCTGTTGGCTTCTTTATAGGCTACTGTTAGACCATATGCTTGCTGTGAGTTACTTTCAGTATTTAGGTTGTATAAGATACTTGTGCTGGAAGGTTAAAACCAGCAAATTACTTTTTACAGCTAACAGAGCAAGAAGTAGAAACCATATTGGATAAGGCAATGGTTTTATTTAGGTTTATGCAAGAAAAAGATGTTTTTGAACGCTATTACAAGCAGCACTTGGCAAGAAGACTTCTCACAAACAAAAGTGTTTCAGATGACTCTGAGAAAAATATGATATCTAAATTAAAGGTAAGACAGTATCTGCATTCTTTTTACTTCATTATTTTCGTAAATATGGTTTCTTCTGTTTTTGCGTAAGGGATACATAGATAACCCACATCTTGATTGCTGTTAAATACAGACTTGATTGGTTTTGTTTGATTTTTTTTAAAAACCCCAAGAGAAAATATGAAAGGCTTTTCTGAACAATTTTGTGGAAATAAAAGGAAGGAAATACTGGAAAATCTGTGATGAGAGAGCAATTTAGAAAACGAATTTTTTTCAAAATTTGTTAACGCGACTTGTCCTCTTATTTGGAAAGTCTTATCTAGTGACTGAATTGGAAGACAAGACTATGTTTTAACCTAGATTTTCTGTTATTCACAGTAGAAATTTTTTTTTTATTGCATGCATTGTTTTTTAGTTGCCTCCATCTGCAGACTGGTGGTAATGCTCAATTCTTTTTTGATTGAGTAGTTGGAGATAGATTGGGGGGGAAAAAAAAACCAAAACCAACACAACAACTCTTAATACCAGTGTCTGGAAGCTTAGCTGGTTCAATTTACTGATTAAATAGGCCAAGAGATGGAGAAGGAGGTAAAGCCTAAAGGAAGCAAGTTGTAATGCAACTTCTTCCTCAATTGCGTGATAAATGGCCAGGGAACCAGAGTGATTTGATGCTGAAACCAGATTTTACTGATCCTCATTTTTGACCTTTACATTCTGTCAGTGAGCAAAGCCTGTTTGCATCAGATTTCTCTAAACTATGAGCGGTAATTCCTTCCCAGTTACCTTTCCGCCTCTTTTAGCCTGGTGATTTAGAAGGCACAGGGCATACATTTGCAAGATGAATCAGTGGACCAGAACTGTCCTCTTTTTCTTACAGCTTTGCACAGTGATTAGCATGCTGAAGTCAACATCTTTGCCTTTACCATGTATGTCTGTGTTAGAAACAGGCACAAAGTCCTGTATGTGCAACTGAAACACATGTGTTTGTGCACGTGTCTATATATGCATGTGTCCCTGGTTCTCAAATGGTCTAGTAATCTCACTTGATAATCTGCAGTAAGCCTTTAAAATTACACAGTCTTAGGACAACAGGTTTATTTCTGATACAAATAAAGTTTATTTCCCTTTACAGTGTCATGTTAAAAAGCATGCCTTGGTCTAATAAGCTTTTAGAGATTTTTTTTTTTTTAAGGCGAGATAGGAACTGAAAAAGAAATTAAAATATAATAATGGAGAAAAGAGAAGGAAAGCAAGTTTTGATATACGTAGGGTCAGATCCTTATAGAAAATAACAAAACTTTTTGAAGTTCTGAAGGTAATGCAGATGGGAAGCCCAGTAACCAAATGTACAGAAATACCATTTTTGTAAGATTTATAAACTAACTCTTAGTCTTGCAATTCACATCAGAAGCTCTGCTTTGATAGTGCTGGCACAACAATTATATTGTGTATTTTTAGACTGAATGTGGATGTCAGTTCACGTCTAAACTGGAAGGAATGTTCAGGGACATGAGCATCTCAAACACGACGATGGATGAGTTCAGGCAACATCTTCAGGCGACTGGGGTAAGAGCATGAGGGTCTGTGTGCTTGTCCTTTTACGGCAGTACAAACCCTAGACCTTTATCAAGGCCTTTAATTCGTTAGTGTGTGCATGTTGAGAAAAGGATTGTGTTAGTGCGCTCAAATTGTGTTTCTTTTGCCGTGTTTCTTATCTTACAAACTTCGAATGTTTCCCGAAGTACAAAAGTCAATTCGAAGCTTGATCCGTAGCTGGAGTAGTGCCAATTTCATCCCATAAAGACCCGTTTCAACTTTTAGTCTCTCCCTGTTCTTCCGAAAGGGCCTCGCAGCAGGTGCCCGGCTGCGGACCCGCTGCCGAGCGCCGCGCAGCTC